GGAGGAAGGAGAAGGGGAGGGGGAGGAAGGAGAAGGGGAGGGGGAGGAAGGAGAAGCGGAGGGGGAGGAAGGAGAAGGGGAGGGGGAGGAAGGAGAGGGGGAGGAGGAAGGAGAGGGGGAAGATGAGGAAAGGGAAAAGAAGGAAGGAGAAATGAGGGAGAGGGAAGAGGAAGAAAACAGGAGGAGGGGCGAACAGGAGGACAAGGAGGAAGAGGAGGGAAAATACCAGGAGACAGGTGCTGAAGAGAGTGAAAGGCAGGGAAGACAGGGTGAAGGAAAAGAGTTCAACAAAGTGAGCACAATGAAAGGATCTGTGAAATACGACAAAGATAAAGCATATCCAAAAAAGTTTATTACTAACACAGAGGGAAAGAGAAAAGAGCATGAAGTACAGAGGTTCAAAATGCCAGTGCAGTCAAAACAACTTTTAGAAAATGGGCCACCAGCTTCAAAAAAATTCTGGAATAATGTATTACCACATTATCTGGAATTGAAGTAACAAACTTTAAATTTGACCTGATTATGTCCAGCCAAACAATTTGAATGCCTTACACATAATAGGCACTCAATACATGTTATTAAATTGATTTTATGTCATGGTTACTTTACATGTGGTACAATACTGACCGATAAATACAACACAAGGCACTGGCAAATTTTGGCTCCTCTTAAACTAACGTTTTGGTGTATTTTTCCTCCAAATTATAAATCTATAAGTAGAAAATATCAAAAGGTCATAGCAGATAATTAACATTATATGTTCCTCATTAAGGACAGATTTAGGAAACAGGAGTGTATTGTAGGAGTATTTTATTTGTGTATACAAATCAGTCCCTTTAAAAATGGCACAGATCCTTAAGGGCTATAAAAACGTAATTTCTTATCAATATGTTAGTGCAATTTTTTTCAGTCTATGATTACTATTTTCCTACCACATAAAATAATTTTAAAAGAATGGATGGTATTCTAAAGCTAAAATAAGGAATTCACATTAAAAAAATAGTGCTGTCTTTTTACTTTTTATGTGTCCTTTTTATAACAATCTACCAGGTGACAGCTGGGTTCAGAGCTTAGGGCCTAATAATGTAATCTCTTTTAGTTACTGTCTAGGCAAATGGCAGTATATCTAATGAAATGGAGATTAACTTAAATGTATATTCGGGAAGTATGTAAAACTTTGAGTATTTATTGGCCAGGCAAAGTTACCCATTGGGCCTCAGTTTCCTCATCTTTAAAGTGAAGTGGATCAGATAGATGACAGGATAACTATAGCCCCTTGTAACTCGTAAATTCTTTCATTCTAACAGACTGGTTTACTCTATCATGTTTGTTATTTGCATAAGAAATTTTTCAAGGAAGAAAAATTACACTTTAAAATTTAGTTTTTTATAAAATATTGTTCTTAAGTTATGACAGCTTTAACATCTTTTGTCTTCTGTAATTCTGTATTTCTGAACTACTTTAATTTCTGAGCTTTAACTATACTGTCAGAACCTTCCTTCCCAGTATCTCTTATGTGCCTTTGATGTATTCTTCTTGACTATTCTGTAATTCTTTGTTTGCTGCTTGTCAGAATGTTTCAAGTAAAATAAAAATTAAATGTATATGGTCATTAATTGTTTGTGAAAAGATAAACTAATATTAGATATCGAATTTTAGAGAGGCTAGATTTCCACTAGAGTAATTTCAGTCTTTCCTTAAAATTTTCATTGAATGTGATGTGGCTAGTTTGATTGTTTTTTATTCATAGCTTCCTTTTCAAATGAGTTCCTTCCCTAGTCGGTTCCATATCTTGGACGTGAGGGATTTCTTTTTTATCAAGGAGGATTTTGATGTTAAATTTCCTGTGAATTTTGTCTAATTGAATTCTTTACACATTTGGTTCTCCATGAATGAGAAAGAATATGAGGAGAAAGACTAGAATATGAAGTGAAGAAATCCTTAGGAACTATTGTAAATTTTGTCTTAGCTGCAAGGATCTCTGGTAGCTTCTCCTAACTAACCAAATATGCTGATTTTGGCATTGCAGTGTTCTACCAAATTCTACCACATTCATTAAGTGTTAGTAGAATTGAATTAATACTTTTTTGTTAATTCTTGTGCAAAAAATGGTTATTTAAAAAGTAGACAAAATGATTAAATAAGGTGGATGACAGAAATGGAGTTCATAAAGGAAAAACCTCCAAGGAGATGAGAAACTCTTAAACTCAAGTTATTAATGTTAAAGATGTGGACATTCATCTTCCACCAAAGAGAAAATCAGCCAGCAATACTGAAATGATGTTCTTAAAATATGCCCATCTTAGTATTTGAACTGGTCTAGATAATCTTTTTTAAACAGCATTTCTTCACATTTCCCTGGCCAAATTTTTTTTGTGCTCTTTTAGAAGCAGTAATTCATGCAGGCATAGTATTCTGGTCAAAAGAACACTGGCATAGTCATTTTGAGACCTGAATTAATATTTGGTTAAAAAGTTTGGACTAATTGGTTCATTCTTTATAGTCCCCATCTGCTGTTTGATCAAGCTTTTACTGTAGTTTATCAGTGATCATTTCTGAGGCAAGTGTGAGTTGTGTATGTAGAATCCATTGAGTTAAAGTTACAAATGAGGACTCTGGCAGAAAAATACTTTAAGGTAAGCTACAAAGGAGTACCACAGAACCATCTACTGCTGCTGAACAGCAGCACTCGAGGTGAGTGCAATCAAAACATTTTCTATTATTTCACTATAGAGATAAACTTTCTGTATACATGTATATTAAAAATAAAATTCTACCATGGAGGAAGGTGCTGTAATTCCTTCCTTCATTCTTTCCATTGTGAAAATTAAATGTGGTATTATATGCCTAGTACCCAACACCTTAGTATTTGGTACATATTCATTCAACAAATATTTATGTACCAAGCACCAAAAACGAGAACAGAAGCTTCCTCAAATCAGATGAATCTCAAGAAGTGAGGGCTGCTTACAGTCAACCTCCTGTGGCCCTCTTACCTGTCAGGGATGTTAGGTAGGTCTAGAATTCTTGAAAGAACACCAGGTAAAAAGAGTTCCTGTGACTATTCCTTAGCTAGTGCTTAACAATGCCCTTTTGTTTCCTGATACCCCCATGTTCTTAGCCGGGGCTGCCCAAATATAAAAATATGATCTGAAAACAAATCTGTGGCTTTCCTCCATTAAATCTCTTAATAAGAAGAAAATGGTTTTGTGCCTTGGGTATGCAGAGAGTAAGATATGGCTCCTGATCTCAAGGAACTCTTGGCTATTTCTGTAGGCTGACCAGAAAATTTACCAGTGCCATAGAGTGCTACAGAAATTGCACTTCAGCTGCCACAGAGAAAGGCTAGGAAAAGGCTTCCAAGGAGCGATGGTGAACCGTGAACTGAGTCATGAAAAGTAAAACCTAACCAGGCAAGGCGGGCAGCAGGGCTTTCCAGGCTGATGGGAACCATGAGAGTCTTTTGGTGTGACTGCAGCCTAGAGTATTCTTTGGTCCTGGATAGAGAGGCAAAGGGCCTAGGTGTCTGTAAAAGATGGTAAACAAGAGTAAGATGATCACACTTGGGCTTTTGTAACATCATTCTGGCAGCAATAGGGAGGGTGGACTGGAAGAGAGTGGGAGCAGAGTCAGGATACCAGTTAGGAGGCAGTTTACAGTAGACCAGGCAGAGACTGAAGAGGGGCTGGACTAGGACAGTAGGGATGGAGAGTTGGGGACATGTATTGAGAGAGAGATTTAGGGATAGAATTGGAGGGCTTAGTAAAGAGATGTAACTTGAAGGGAGGGAAAAGGCCAAGCATGTCTTGGCTCTGGCCGGGACAACTGGGTGGAAAGAGTGCCATACACCAAGACTGAGAACAGAGGAGTAGAGGCAGGTTTGGGAGACCGCTTGGGGCTTGTTGATCCAGGAGATGTTCAGCAGGCCGATACACCTCTGGATCTTGAGCTCAGGGGAGACTGCTGAGTATCACCAGCTTATGTATGCAGTTAAAAGGGTGGAGTTGAATGAGAGGCAGCATTCATAGTGTGACAAGAGAAGAGAACTAAGGACAGAATTCAGGGAAACATCAGTAGGTAAGGGGAGGTTGAGAAAGGGAAGTCTGAGAAGGAGATGGAGTAGGAACACTTTGTAGGAAAGAGAGGTGCCGCCCAACCCAAGGAAGAAGGAGGAGTGGAGGCCCATCAGAGGGCCTAGACTTAGCCCAGATTGCCTGCAAAGAGTGAGCTCCAGTAAGTCTTCTTTGCAGAGAAATAGAATCAGAACTAGACTTTGAAAAATAAATATCAGACAAAGAGTGCTACTGCCATATTTCTCAATTTAGGAAGGGAGAAGTATATTCCAGAGACTTTGGTGCTCTGGGGAAGAAAATCCTAAATTTTTATGTGCTATTACTATGCACATTGGTACATAAGAATAGGATGTTATTGAAGTGAGCTTATCAACAAAAAAGACGAGTCTGCAGTGCTTTAAATATCAGTGAGGGAAAAAAAAAACAATTCTGAGGGAAGCCATTATGGTCTTCAAATTATTTGGGCAAAGTTGGGAAAGAACATGGGTTCTGGAGTCCAGTAGGCATGAGTTCAAATTCTAGAACCTTCACTGATTAGCTGTGTGGACACCTGGAAAAGCTTTTTTTTTTTTAACCTTTCAGATTCTTATTTCCCTCTTTTAGTAAAGGCAGGGGTCTCTTGATAATTAAATTAGTTAACACATGAAACATGTTAGAGGTACTTGGCAAATGGTAACCCGTATCACTAATTATCCTCTCTCATCATATCAAGTCAGGTGCAGTGCTACCCTCATGAGTCTCCAAGTCACTGGCTGATGTACATGAGTTTAGTCCTGTGAACCTCACTTTTGTTTAAATACAACATAGCAGCCCCCCAAAAAATTGGCTTTTGGAAATAGATCAGTGGGAATGAAATGGATTACAATAATGTGATAACCCTTAAATATTAGATAGAGTGAAACTCTACTATTACACACCATACATGAGCCAAATACTGCCCCTCCATGTTTGAAGCATGGTGAAAGGCTGATTGCACTCACATGGTTAGCCTAAAATGTCATGGGACCACAGATTTCCCTGTGTCCTAATGTTTTTACCAAAATAGTTTTTATCAAAATAGTTTAAAAATTCACACGTAAAGAGCAATCATGGATCTTGCATTTGTTTAAGGTAAAGAGGAAAATTAATTTTCTAAGGGAAAACGATAGAGTAAAACTGGAAAATGAGGCTAAAACTATCCCAGCAAGATATTCTGTACCCTGAGCGTTACAGTCATTTTTGCAGGCCTGCTTATCAGAGTCAAACTGGAATGTATTTGGTGGTGAAAATACAGGATTAGGAATGAAGTAAGGGAGTGGTACCTGGAAAGAAGGAAAAGTTTACAGATTATAAAGTAGTATCATTAGAAGCCAAGAATTGGGAAGTCACAACTGGCAGCCCATGGGTGTAATATGGCCTGCAGATTTATTTTGTTTGGTATATATAGTGATTTTTTTAAAACATTTGAATCAGTTGCCAACATTGAAATATCAGGAGATTTTTACATTGAAAAATATTTTTCTTGGAAAGATATTCTCTTGGAAAACCTGGGAGTCTGGGAGCATCATGCCCTGTGGCATCACTGGCCTGCAGCCCAGCCAGGCCGCCCCTCCACTTCCCTGCCATCCCAGGGCTGCTCCTGACAGGCATCCCACCTTCTTCCCTCGCTGCTGGGCTCCTGGCGGAGAATAAAGGGATGTGTATAAGAGGGTAGAACAAATAAGTGAACACTTTAAATGAACTGTTTTCTAGTGATAAGATCTGGGGACACTACGGCAAAAAGTGTCCAGGCTTCTTTTTCTACAGTCCTCAAAGCACACTAGGAATTCTATCTTACTTTTTATGGAGCAGTCTTTAGAAAATCACTTATATTTATATAC